ACCTACATTACATGTTACATTTCCATTCAGCCCTGCTAATTATCCTCTGGATTTCAAGGGGACTATAGGTTTTATTATTAGATACTCTGGGGTTGCTTTATTGAAGCCAAATAGACTTTTAAATTTGCAGGAAATGTTCCCTCAGCTTAGTGAATGAGGTGAAAATTAGGTTTGAAAGAATACGCAATCATGAGCAAGGAAAATAAAAAAAAATAGTATTGTTGGTTGCACTTGATTGGCTGATGGAAGTCAGCAGATGACCACCTCATTCACCATGTTAAAGCAAAATTATCTTGCAAAGTAAAACATCTCTTGCAAAGTGAACAGCCTGTTTTCTCTTAGTAAACGAGCCCCTCAGTCTGTGATTAGGGCCTGGTTCACACCTGTACGTTTTGTAGCGCGTTCAACGCTCTACGAACGCTCTACAAAACGCTCAAACATGAAAATCCCATTGTTTTCTATGGGTATGGTTCACACCTTGACGTATTTCAGCCCGTCTGAACGCGCTACAAAACGGCCTACGCCTGAAAAGATACATGCGCTTCTTTGCGGCGTTTTTGTCGCGCGTTTCCATTGGGATACAGCCAAGTAGCCCTCGGAAACGCGCGTTTTTAACCGCAAATCGCGGTAAAAACGTGCTTCATGAAACGCGCATAGTCGATACGCCTAGGTGTGAACAGAGCCTAAAACCTTTCATGGAGGGGTGGGTAATGCAGGAAAAGTTACTCCTACTTAGTGCACATTTCAGCTTGGGCTGTTGACTTCTGTAAACAGGTTTTTGTTTTTTTCCTAACAGAAAGTAGGGAAAAACACAAAAATGCGAAAAGGGTACATGCGGAAATACAAAACATAAAAAGATATATAAAATAATAAATAAGACTTTTTTTTTTAAGATAAAGTCTTTTATTTGATAAATACAGCAAATTAAATAAGTATAGGTTATGAATGTAATTATCATATTTGTAGAAAATCCACTTTATATAGCATAACATTTACTGTGTGAATGCATAATTTAATGTGTAAAAAGTTACACTTGCTATCACGATAGTATCCATATGCCACACCCAAGGGTGGCCTCCACATGTAGATGCAAGTTTTCCAGCAAGCATATTTTGCCAGTATTACAATGATTTACCACTTAGTACATATTGAGTGATGTAACTTGGGATACAGTTATCCTATGTAAATGAGTCACTTGGGTGAGGTGGTAAAACTTTGTATATACATAAAATCTAGACAAATATACTCACATCTGCAAAGCTGTCAGAAAGTTAATTTGTAGAAAGTAATAGTAATTTTCTCATCTGTTTTAATTTCTTTTGGGCATATAAAAGTGTATATTTAGCTTGTGGTGAAGACACATCGTAATCATCAGTGAGTGGTGCAGCAGTACAGAACTGTTATGGCTATGGCATATGACTATAACGTATCAATACATATTATGAGACTATTATAACATATAAATACAACTCTTCAAACGCTCATCAGATTTGTATATATCTAATAGAAATGTGGGATGGCTTTTGAGTTCTCCTATTGAATACAGGTATGTTAATATTTTCTCCACAAATGTATTACACATAGTAATAAGGAATACTCACTGTGTTTGTGTCACTTGTTACCGATTGCTGACTTAGGTACATGGTTGCACTCTTGATTCCTGCTTCAACTTGACCTTCACGCTGTAACAGGATTTGTAAGAAACATGTAGTAGTGAATGTGTATAACACGTTTAGCATTCATCTTATGACCCACATTTCCACCATCAATATGTAATACCTGGGTTTATAACATTTTCATTTTTGCTTATGAAGTTCTTTTGCTATGGCATTGCTTTATCCGTGGCAATTTTTGACACGGTAGTACAGCTGTTCTGCGTAAGACTTCCATGTGCAAAAGAGGGGTTAAATACTTCTACTTAATAGTTAAAGGAGAACTATGCGGTTAAGGCTTTTCCCCATAGTTCTCCTTAGGGTAACGGGAGGACACAAACTAGCGTCCTCGCGTCACGCTAGGCTCAGTATACCGCAAGCTGTAGCTCGCGGTATACTGAGACGCCGCAGCTGAAGCGGATCCTGACAATTATGCCGGGATCTGCCCAGCTGCGTGACTGACAGCTGGCTCTGCCTATATAGAGGAGTGGGGAGGGGGGAATACAGCCCCTCCTCTGTCACGGCAGAGAGCCGTGACAGGATCGAGAGATGTGCAAACCGCCGGTATGTGTTCGCTCACCTCCCGATCTACTGAGCCGGCTAGAATTATGAGGTGAGTGAAAAGCACTCACCTCATAGTTCTCCTTTAAGGTATTTGAATGCATTTTAAGGTTTAACTCCTGAGTTTAGTGTCACTTTAACAAGCGGGGAAATTGTATGCTTTAAAAAAAAAACAATAGAAGGCAAACACTATACAATTTGAAAGTAAAGCGTGTTTTTTTTTTAAATGCCTTATATGTTAAAGGATAACCAAAGACAAGAACTAAAATGTAATATGTTGCAGCTAACCTGTCATTAGCTATGTACGGTGGCTGCACTCTTTTCCAGGTAAGAACATTTTCAGCAAGTACAGAAAATACCTGTCGGTCTTGACAGAAATGCTATGTCCTTGCCACTTTCTTTGAGCTGAACTGCAGGCAAAAGCTTTTATTTTTCTTTTGTAAACTATTAAACACCCCACCCCCATATAATGGAGATAAACAAAGGCAGATGTGTTTGAAGTCTAGCCTGGGTGACATCCATGTCTCCCTCCAGATACAGTGAAGGAGTGAGTGTAGCCACCCAGGTACAGGTAGGGTGTTATTTTTAGAATTAGCAGGTAAAAATAAGGGAAAAACCACATCTGAGGACTGGTAAACTGCAATATATTACTTTGATGTTTTTGGGTTTAGATAAGCTATAATCTTTATGGAATACAGATTGTATCAGCTCTCTTGGAAGAACACTGATAAGATACAGAGAATCATATACAACAAAACAACATTTGCAAGAAGTAAAAACAGCTGTTACTGAAATCCAATCACCAATATTTAAGGAACAGAAAACTATAAAGATAGCCTCTACTATTTATTGAATCTGCATTGCCAAGTATCACAGAAACAATACACGAATAAATTAAAGATGCTTCCACCTAATGCAAAAATAAAAACATTAGTGACATAAAAATATAAACAAAAACAACAGACCTCTAAAATATCCCTCGTCAGACATGTCCCCTGAATTCTCAGTTTGAACAGGTTGTGGATACCAAATAATTCGCCTTTGTGCCCTGTTGATCCTTGGACAGCTTTAAAGTAGCGTTTAGCATTTTCACTTCCAACCACCGCACAGTGAAGTTGCTATTAAAAAAAAAAAAAAGACAAAACTGAAAACATCAGAGGGCTGTGGGCACACATCTGCAGATAACAGGAAGTCACATCAACAGGCACTGTGGTCCAGGGTTCCCAAAAGTTCATCTATCAGTTGTTTATCAGGGGAGTGACAAAGTCAAGAAAGATTTCTGTATATGTACAAGTACTGTATCTAGTAACCTAACTGAGTAACTAGTATGTAAACCAGATCACACACGCGGCTGAAATTTCGGTGCCTCCGTATTAGGTAGGCTCTACCACTACAGAGATGTCTGATTATACAATATCTTTTAGACTGACCAACAGCTATATAGTTCAAGGTTCTACCCTACTGGATATACATTAAATCAGATTTTTACATGTACCATCACAATAAAGGAGATTGTACAGGCAGAATGTAGCATGTGCCCAGCTTCAGACAGATGTAAATGAGATTAAAAATGCATTAACAAAGGTTATATGATGTGGTTGTGTGTGTTTCAGTTCAATGCAGGAAGCAGTCTTACCTGTTTGTAAACCTGCCTTAAATAGATCATTTCTTCCACGGTGCCCAGGGATATTAGCCTAAATACTTTTACATCCCTGCATTGTCCAATTCGATAGGCTCTAAGAAACAATAAAACATCACGGTTATGTAATTACAGTATGCTTAGTGCATGTTTGCTTATATTTTACAGCTCCAAGGATAATACATGTGCTGTAGAATCATATTACTTTTTCCCGTTTCATCATCATGTGACCATTCAGATTTTGACTTTTATATAAAATGTAAGTTGTACATTGAAAAACTCGAAGGAACATAGTGATAATCAGGGCTTGAAAATTCACTCGTCCTCTCGTCTGTGACGAGAGGACGCAGGCGTTGGATGAGTAGCTTTCAGGCCGGCCATTCTAATTAAGCGGCCGGCCGGGAGCTTCTTGGATGGCTGTTTATGTACAACCGATCCAGGGGCTGCAGAGCCGCTGGATCCCTCGTGTAATGTGTGTGGGTGTGCGCCCTCCCTCTCCACCGCTGCCGATCCGTTGTGTCCGGTGAGGGCTCGGCACCTGCAGGGCGGCTCTGTCACCGGAGGTCAGCGGGAGACCATCACCTCCTCCTCGTTCTCTGAATGCAGGAGTGATGTGTATTACATCACTTCCACATTCAGCTGTCATTCTCCAGCTTCTGTAGCTGGAGAGAAGCTGGTGAAGCCGATCTCTGCTTTATCAGCTTCTTTGGAGGTCCCTAGGTGACATTAGGGGTCCTAGAGACCCCTGATGTGACCCTAAATTGGGACCTGCCTGTGTAAATTGGCTATCACATAGGGGGCTTCTCATCCCCCTATGTGATAGCAATAAAGTAAAAAAAAAATTAAATTAATGTTACCCAAACAAAATGTAAAGTCAAATATAAAATAAAACACAAAAAGATTTTTTTAAGTCCCCTGCCCCCATATACACACACAAACATGCGTTGGGTGCGCCTACATGTGAAAATAGCAATTGCGCCCATTGCGCCACACATGTTACATATCACCGCAAAAGTCAAAGTGAGGGCAATCATTCTAGGGCCATTAATCACTATTAACACTAAACTGATGACCTGTAAAAGCTTTCAAAGCGTCACTTATGACCAATTTTGGGTATGGATTTGTTTTGCGATTTTGCAGGCGCACGCAATTTTAAAGTTTGACATGTTTGGTGTCTATTTACCCGACGTGACCCCGTCTTTTATATTTTATCAAGTCCCCACCCATACATACACGCATGCAAACATGCGTCGGGGGCGCATACGTGCGAAAAAGACGATTGTGCCGCACATGTTGCATATCGCCGCGAACGTCGGAGTGAGAGCAATAAGTCTAGGGCCATCAATCACTGATAACACTAAACTGATGAGCGGTAAAAGCTTTTAAAGTGTCGCCTATGGCCAATTTTGGGTATGGTAGTTTTCTGCAATTTCGCGGGTGCGCGCAATTTTAAAGCTTGACATGTTTGGTGTCTATTTACCCGACGTGACCCGATCTTTTATATTTTACCAAAAAACTGGTTAATAATAAATGTTTCCTAACATAATGTAAAAAAAACTTTTTTTTAAAAAAATTTTCTGTAATTTTTCCTAATTATAATAAAAAATAAAAACCCCAGTGGTGATTAAATACCACCAAACGAAAGCTCTTATCTGTCCCCAAAAAATGTTAACATAAATTGCAAGGCTATAGTCTGGTCATGCTGACTGGTGACATGTTTGACTGACTGGTGAGACACCCTAAACTTTTTCAAGCCCTGGTGATAAATCTGCCGTCGCTGTCCAATAAACCATTCGACTGCCACACATTGAATTCAATTACGTCTGATTTTTTTCTTAGCAGAAATTAATGTGAAATTAGAAGAAATCTAAAGAAAATTTACTTTTAGAGATACTGGATATATCAACTACAATAGGAAAACTAATTCTGTTAAATTAGACCTTTACATTTTACCATAATACTTTATAAACAATGAATAAAAAGTAACAGAAGGGATAAAGTACTTTTTTTTCCTGTTCAGTGGTGTTTAAAGAACTTGGGGCAAATTACATATTAACCCTAGCAGTAGGGCTGCCCTCGCACTGCAAAGTGCTTGTTTTGGTCTAGGGTCTAAAATAAAAAAATCGATGTATACTCACATGAGCCTCAATCCAGCTTGACTGCTAGACCGGTCCCTGCAGCCTTTTCTCCTCCAGGCTCCGGGAGTCTAAGCCCCACTGATAACCTCACATTTAATACCAGTCCATTGACTTGCATGAGAAGTGAGGATGATAATGGGCATTCCACAGCCGGAGCAGAGGATAGGGTAGTGATAAGTGGTCATTGAAGCAGCTGAGTGAGTATATCTTTTTTATTTTAGACTCTAGATCAAAACGAGCACTTAACAGGGCAGCAGAAGGCCAGGTGTCTAATTACTGTCTGTGCTAGGCTGGGTTCTTCGCCCCTCCCTTTTCCTAAATAACCTTGGGGCTGCCAGAGACAAGTGAAGGCGAATACTATAGAGATTGTCGCTTGGGTGACAGCTCTAAGTCCCCTGACACCACACCCAAAATGGAGGGGCCCAGCAGCAGTCTCATGGCTTTTTAGAGGTCTACACAAGATAGGCTTTTACAGGTAAATGCCATGCATAAAACACATTAAATGCACATATAAAAACTTATGGGAAAATAGTTGTTGAAATGAATTATAGTTGCCATATTCCTGAGTGTAAAATACAGTAATACAAACAAAGCTACTAGGCCAAATTACCTGTCAATTGCCTGGAGGTCATTTGCTGGATTCCAAGTTGGATCAAAGATCACCACTATGTTTGCTCCAACAAAATTAAGCCCTAGTCCGCCAGCCCTTGAAGAACAGAAGGAAAACAATTACCACTAAACACATAACTAAAATTGTAACTTCATAAAAGCTTGCACTTAAAGTTAGAACTTACATGGTTGAAACTAAGCAAATGTTCACATCCTGTACAGTGTTGAACTCCTTTACTATATTAACTCTGTCTTCTGCCTTGGTGCTACCATCCAGTCTCCGATACTCTAGTCCTGATGCCATGCAGTATCTTTCCAAAACATCTAGAAGCTAATGTACATAATATTAACAAAATAGTGCAAGGAGAAAAATAAGGTTGTGCAGGAAATCTACACTTGGAATCTGTGGGGCATGGATTAAAAAGCGTGTGACATTTAAAGAAGAGCATCAGACCTTACCTTGAGGAAAAGCTGTTTACTTGGCACTACTTGGCTACTCCACATAACAGTAAACATTCTAATTGGTTACTTTGTTCTTTAAAAATGATTTTGTAGTCATACAAAAGTATTTAACAATTACATAGTGGAGTTGGTACCTCTAGGTGCCTTCATGCACTTTCTGACATGTAAAAGAGTGCTCCTGGACCTCAGAAAAGGACACAGAGGGCAGCCCCTTCTTTATCTTTTTGGTACTAAAGCACCAGGGTACTAAAAGGAATATAGTAATTTAACAGCTATGTATTATGCTATATACAAAGGGCAAGATGGATAAATGTATATGGAAACATTATTGTAAATGGAATGTTGTTTTGAAACGTAATAAAAGTAATTGAACACAGAGGGCAACTCTTATGGTCACTGGCTCTAGCAAGCCGCATCCCACACTGCTGTACCATTGGTTTGCGAGTCACTAACATACACAGGAGCAAGAAACGGTTTCCCCGTCTAAGCACCCCGCAACATTTCAAAAAGTGCATGTGAGCACCTTGCTGTTCCAACACTATTATGTACGAGTCTGTTAAATGTTTTGTTAGATATTAAAGTCAAAAGTGTTTTAAGCCATGTTGATTAAATCACTTACAATGGATGCTGCTCCTTGATGTTTAAACGTTTTAGTTTCATGCAGAATCAGCTGGTCCCCTGAGCACTGGCCCTGATATCCTGTCTTAAGGTGGCTCCTTTCCCTTGCAGGGCCTTATGGAGCCAGCCTTGTGTGTGCAAGTAAGCTGTGTGAGTCTCCACAAACACACATGCACAGCAATGCAAATCACTGCCCTGCTCCTCACTCCTCCGCCATACTCCCTCCTCCAAGCTAGTAGATGGACACCTGCTGGAGACGGTGCTATGCCTTGAGATCTTGCACTGGACAGGAAGCTCAGGAAAGCCGGGCTGAGAAAATTGGAGCCAGTTGTTTGGAAATATGATGCCTGTGTTTGGGCAAAAATGTAAAGAAATACTTTGCTGGGCAATGTGTATTAGTTTGATCTGGATTCATTTTTGAAAAATAATTGAGTTTAAGACTACATTAAGCCAAAAACTCCCTTTATGGTTTTAAACCTGGGCATCCAAATTAACAAGGGAAATACAGTATCAATAGATATTTATCTTGTCTGGCTCTCAAATTAGTCTAATAATGTCTTATATAAAACACATGATTGCACTATGATCCAGTGACTGCTTTTAATACAGCTGCATGTGTATAACTCTTAGCAGTATGCAGGTGGGTACGTGTCACTCTACTCTAAATGTACAGCAACTATTGCGTAGGGAACAAGTACCAGTATAGAGCAGTCATGTATACAGTTTTTATATGTTCATAAATTCCTGGAAACAGACCATATACACTGAAGCGTACTGGTCAATCCATTACTAAATGAATAAATCTATGTGTAAAAAAGTATTACTGGTCCACAAGTATAAACTCCTGCTAAGGCTGAAGTACACACTCCGTTATTTCAATATATGTATTTATCTAGTTTGAAAGAAAAGTAAAATATTTATATTAGGTAACATAGCTACAATACTTCAGGAGATCAGTGGTTATCCAGAAGGAGAACATTATGGGAACTCGGTGACTGTTTAGAGAGCAGGTAAGTTTCAAATATTTCTTCCTAGAGATCTGCACACATGTGTGTGGCTTCACAGCTGATATGTGCTTACATTTTGACAGCTTGGACAAGTTATAACCTGTATCTTTATCTAATTTAGAAGCATTAATAAGGATTTTAGCTGCTGTCCATAACATTGCTCATTACGCCCTTCAATGCCACTTAATGTATTAAATGCAAGGAAGGAAATGTGGTTGACAGCTGTTGGAAGAAAAGTCTTTTGCTTTATCAATCAAGAGTTACGTCTCAGCCAAGCATAGCAGACATTATATGGTGCTCACCTTTGTGGAGAAGGAGAAAAGAAGAACCTTGTCCTTGTTTTTTCTGCAGTGATTTAGGAGCTGCTGAAGAACCTGTAAATGAACCAGAAGGCAGCAATGAACCAAAGTATCCAAACATTACTGTTAAAACTGGAAAAACTTACACAAGAATGGTGGCTAAAGTAATGACGCAGAAAATTCAAAAGCATTTTAAAGTGAAAAATAATTTACACCTTAAACACAGGTCAAACTTGCAGCTCTGTTAATCATTATCAATGCCTTTTGGAAAAAAAAAATCAAGTAATTTTAAAACTGATGGCAACAACACGTCTCAAAAAAGTTGGGACAGGGAAACAAAAAGCTGGCAAAGTCAGTGGTGCTAACAAAGAAGAGCTGGAAGAACATTTTGCAACTAAACAGGTTAATTGGCAACAGGTCAGTAACATGATTGGGTATAAAAAGAGCATCTTAGAGAGTCAGACTGCAAGATGGGCAGAGGTTCACCAATCTGTGAAAAGCTGCATCTAAAACTTGAGGAACAATTTCAGAATAATGTTCAACGTAAAATTGCAAAGACTTTAAATATATCATCATCTACAGTACATAATATCATCAAAAGATTCCACGAATCTAGAGAAATCTCTGTGCACAAGAGACAAGGCCGAAACACAATATTGGATGCTCGTGACCTTCGGGCCCTCGGATGGCATATTTATGTGATAGGCATCATTGCATGGGCTCAGGAATACTTCCAAAAATCACTGTCTGTGAACACAGTTCACCATGCTATCCAAAAATGCCAATTAAAGCTCTATAATGCAAAGAATAAGCCATATATCTGAGCATGATCCAGAAACACTTTGTCTTCTCTGGGCCAAAGCTCATTTAAAACGGTCTGGCACAAAGTGGAAAACTGTTCTGTGCTTGACACTTCGAAATTTGACATTCTTTTTGGCAACCATGGGTGCTGCGTCCTCCAGATCAGGGGTAGCCAACCAGTGGTCCTCCTGCTGTGGTGAAACTGCAAATCCCATGATGCATCTCTCTCCGGAAGTCATGTCTGTGGCTGTGAGAATGTTGCAATGCCTCATGGGATTTGTAGTTCCACCACAGCTGGAGGACCACTGGTTGCTACCCCTGCTCCAGACTAAAGAGGAGAGGGACCTTCCGGCTTGTTATCAGCACACAGTTAAAAAAAAAGCCTGCATCTCTGATGGTATGGGGGTGCATTAGTGTGTATGGATTGGGCAGTTTGCACATCTGGAAAGGCACCATCAATGCTGAAAGATATATCCAGGTTTGAGAGCAGCATCTGCTCCCTTCCAGATAATGTCTTTTTCAGGGACCTTTTATATTTCAGCAAGACAATGCTAAATCGCATACTGCATGTATGACAACAACATGGCTTCGTAGTAGAAGAGTCCGGGTGCTTAACTGGCCTGCCCGCAGTCTAGACCTTTCACCAATTCAAAATATTTGGGCATCTCGAAACTGAAAATACGACAAAGAAGACCCAAGACTGTTGAGCAGTTAGAATCCTATACCAGGTAAGAATGGGACAACATTCATTCCCCAAAACTCTAGCAATAGTCTTCTCAGTTCCCAAATGTTTACAGAGTGTTGCTAAAAAAAACAGAGGGGATGCTACACTGTGGTGAACATGGTCCTGCCCCAACTTTTTTTGAGATGTGTTGCTGTCATCAATTTGAAAATTACCTTATTTTTTCTTAAAATGGTAGATTTTATCAGTTTAAACATTTGATATATGTTTTTTTATTTTCTAATGTGAATAAAATATGGGTTTGTGACGTTTGCAAATCATTGCATTCTGTTTTTATATAGATCCCAACTTTTTTGGAATTAGGGTTGTACAACTGCTTTCTATTGCAAGCAACAAATTCACATTTATGTGTTTATATTAACCCATTGTGCAAAGAGGATTATGGATTTTGTCTATCCAAAAATATTTCTAGGATAGCAAGATCATTGTATCAGGGTGAAGCGATCTTCAGATCTCCCTGTATGGGAGATCCGGAGTTGCAAATTTCAGGTAAAGGGCAAATCTTGCCCTTTGCTCACCATGCTGCAGCACATGCTTGCCAAGGAAATCGCCATAGATATGTGGGGATGACAACTAACTACTGCCAAATGCAGATCCAGAGGCACAAACACCACCCCAAGTTAGATAGGATAATTGCAGCACCCAAACTTGTATCTTGCAACCTTTCATCGCACAAAGCATTGTCAAAGGATGTATATTTTTATTATTATTACTATTATTATTACATTATTATACAGGATTTACATAGTGCCAACAGTTTGCACAGCCCTTTACAAAATAAACCAAGACAGTTACAATACAATTAAAAACAAGATGGCTAGGAGTGCTTTGCTCATGAGAGCTTACATTGTAAAAATCCTAACGAGAATCAAATACTCCGATTTATGCAACAGGTTAATGAATGATGGTCTCAATGTGATCCTTGAACGGGCTCATATCAATTTGTTCACCACAATTATAAACTGTATATCACTGACGGTTAAAGAAAAAAACATGTTTTTGGAAATCTCTTCGGTGTCATAGACAAAACAAGACTGTGGAAAAGTTAGGTGCTGATAATGTTTTATTTCCGTCTGTGCCTTCCTGTCCTGAAATCAAATGTACCCCCTTTTTTGTCCAGGTGTCAGAGACAGAAAGTGAGGGGAAATTCCTCACAGTGGGAGACAACCATAAGAAAAAGACAAAAACCTTTATTCTTACCCATACAAAAAAAGAGGTCAGACTTTGATCACTCAAAAAAATGAGTAAAAGAAAGTACTGCAATAATCCAAATCACAAGACAAAATCCATACTTATATAACCTTACAAACTGGTAAATACCATCAAAATACTGATTTTCTGACAGATTTTATGACAGTGGGTCATATACCCATGATAAGTCAAAGCAATTATCCAGTAGCTGTCCTGAGGTGAGACTTGTTACATTAAAATAAACTTCCCCATATCGGAAACGTTAACTTCCCCAACTTTTAAGTCATATAGTTTTGTCATAAATATAGAAAGTGTTACTGCTGAAGTAGCATACATTGTTCAAATGCATATATACCAAAAGGCATACAAATAGCCCATGCCCATCAAACTCAAGAAAATATTAGTATGAATCCTAAACAGAAGGAAAGCAGGAAGTCACACACAGATGATGTCAGATCACATTCAACATTATTAAACACGGACATAGCACACTACAGCGCCACCTAGGACTGCCTCTCTCCAAAGTTTCACTTAAAACGGGCTTGATCACAGGATTTTCATAGAGGCTTGGAGGCGACATCTTTCTACAAGAATCCTAAGCAGTCAATAAATCCCAGGTCACAAATGCAATGGTGCTACCACCTTTATTAAAGTATGTTGGTAGACAACAACAGTATGCACAGGAAGCACAGCAGTCACCAATTCCAGGAACACATTGACAGGAATAAATGGAATGGAACCAATAACTTTATATCCAGCCAAAAAATCCTTACACAAGGCATGGAACCTCAAGGTCAGTGAGATAGGAGGGAATACCCAATTTACAGTACAGGTGCCTCCAGAAGAACTGAAGGACTAGTCTCACTGCTGACTTTCTCAAGAAAACACCATAACTACATTTGCTCATTTTTTTAACATATACATGATTGCTGTATGTATGGTATTGTGCACATGTGTTTTTAACTTTATTAGAGCAATGAGGTTTATATATCTTCTAATAAATGCCTGGTCAGAGTGCAAGATTGGAGTTTGCTTGCTGTCCGTAGACGTATAATGGCAGAATTGATTTCAGATTTGTGTTTGACATTGAGCTACCTATATAAACTGTATAATTTTGGGTAGTACTATTTTGCATAAATGTTGCTCAGCCCAAGTTAATTGAATCCCTTTATCTAACCCCTCAACTAAGGCCATTATAAAAGTGGTGGTCTACACTCTAAAGTGTTCTCAAAATAAATTTACATTATTGAGACTCTAGCAGGGGGAACCATACCTTCTCTCAGCTTCATCATATTAATAAGAACACAGTTGGTAGATAGCTGAAAATACCAATGGAGAGATTATACCAATAAGGCATAGAAAGCAGGAGATTCAACACTACACTGCCTAAAACTGAAATATAACCCAGCAGTGTGTCTATTGGAATAAAATGGAAATCCACAGAAAGAAAATATGCTTGCAGACAGTACCCTAATTAGAATCAGTCAAGGAATTACTGCTTCTAGGCAGCAACGGCAACACCTGAGCCCCTATGTTGCCAAGTCCGTTGTCCATAACCATTCATGTGAGGACAGAGGGGAAAAAGCAGACAGGTGATCAAATCATTAAATCTTCTAAATTCCTTCAGAAGTTTAGAAGTGTAAACTTACTAAGAAATATACAAATAATCCAACTCACCTACACCCTACCATTAGTTATCATAGACACAGCTTCCAGTCAAAAGACACTAATTAAGGAAAAGCTTATAACATATGCTTGTATACGCTTGGCCTGTAATTATGCCAAGTTATCAAAAGGAAGACTTTCTTGGAGTGAGGCTTGTTAAAATAATCTGTGAAATGTGTTTTTTACCCTACCTCATGCTTGTGTTTATTGTACAAGCTTACTTCTCATAGTCTTGTCATACTCTATGATGCCAGCTACACTGCTTCACAAGATGTTATTCTGCTGGGGAAGTAAGCAATGTGGGGATGTGTGTATAATGAGGATACTGTTATTTTTAAGAAAAGCATGTCCACATCTGGCAATGTCAGTTCCATGTGACTTTGCTGACGCAACGCAAACTGGAGAAAAAAGAAGACATTCTTCTTCCCCAGCAATGCTAGTTGCTCCCAGTGGGTAATAAATATTTTAACTGTTAGATTTATTCTGTTATAAATATTTACATAATCTACACAGTTACCCACTCACAAATACTATAAACTTAATGAAATAGAATTGAAATCATGACTGCAGGAGGGACTCAAAGTGCCAAAGAAAAATACACCAATAGCAATCATATCATATCAATCATAAGAGTCATGGAACTTGACATGTAGTCTTTAGACAGAATACTGTACACTATGGTCTTGTAGTCTTTATTCACTCTCCGATACTGACCTTAGGGTGCCCTAGCTTGGAAGAAACCTTCTAAGACAAGGTACCCTTAAAAAGGATTTGTTCTGTAATGCAGAAGACCTTTCATAGCGTATCCAGGCCATTTCTTTGCGAACGGAAGAAGTGGCTTGAATAATTTGTGAAACTGCAACATTACAGAACTAATCCAGCTGAATGTGACTAACTACTACAAGCTATATCATGAGCTGGATAAATGAGAACCTTCCCAGACCTAAACTTGTACTACTACCCACAAATGCACACATAAAAGGTTCTCATATTTTTAAAAACCTGTTCTGTTTAGTATTTTGTATTTATGTGGCTATAATGCTAACTGTAACATAATATTACCAGCCGTTCAGTCAACTGAGGTTAAACAGAGAAAGGAGAATTTATCAAAACTGAAGTAGACAGAATCTTGAGCATGGTAAACAATCAGGTTCTCTTTTTTAGTTTTAAAATTTAACTGAACAGAGAAGCTAATTGGTTACTATCAGAAGTTTTGATAAATTCCCTCCAGGATGTCTACAAAGTGGGTTTTAATGAAATTATTAGCCAGCAAGTCAGACTGTGCATAGAAAAACTACCTTTCTGCAAGACAATGGCTATATCTAAATGCTAATAATCTCTGTATACATTTTGATACATATCTCTTGATGTTATTACAGGATTAAAATCTGACAAACCTTCATTTTCCCACTGTACTTAGGATCAGAGATGGTTTCAAATGCAGCCTCTTTGCTTTGCTGGACAAACTCTGGAAACTTGGAGAACACTTCAACGCAGATTCTTTGAATATGAGCATCCTAGGATAACGACAGACACAGATCAACTTAAAGGGGGGAACAAACTAAATTTCAGTTTAGCTTGCATGCACATAACATGAAAACATATATCTGCTGTTAGGTTTGAAAACTAGGTCTGCTGTAGGACTGTTTTAGGTGCAAATGCAGAATGTTTCCAGGTGCTTTCAGCTTGTATTAAGGATACACTGCCAGGCCAAAAAAAAAAAATCACCACCTGGATTTAGCTAAGCAAATAGGTAAGAGCTATAGGGGTTGCTTCAGTTGGTCAGGTCTAGGTTCAGCAATGTTGTGCACCCAAAAAGTATTATGTCAGCTGCCTACCTGAATATACTGAATTACCAAGTTTTTCCATCAATGGATGTATTCTTCCCTGGTGGCACATTGGGCATATTCCAAGATGACAATGCCAGGATACATGGAGTTTAAATTATGAAAGAGTGGTTCAGGGAGCACGAGACATTTCACACATGGATTGGTTGCCGCAGAGTCCAGACGTTAACCCCGTTAAGAATCTTTGTGATGTGTTGGAGAAGACTTTACACAGAGGTCCAGCTCTCCCATCATCACTACAAGATCTTGGTGAAAAATTAATGCAACTCTGGATGGAAAACAATGCTGGATGATAATCAAAGCTAAAGGCTGCCCAACAGAATATTGGTGTGTGACTTTTTTTTTTGGCCAGGCAGTGCATGTTTTTTTTTTTTTTCAATGGATTCTTTCTTATCTGCTTGTGATCTCTAAGCTGTTTCAAGCTTCTTTTGCATTTCGTCTGACTTGGAAGGAAAGTAGCTCTGATACAAAAACATGCCCATGTGCACAAGGGTAAATGTCCTGCATTATTTGCAGTTTTACCAAATGTTTGTATGTATAGTAAAATAACAATTTTGATTTTTCTTTTGCTTATAAAACTAAGCATAGAGCAATGATGATATGCAAAGTAGAGTAGAGTAGGTCATGACACCTAGAGGCATATTTATAGAGCAGTCAATGCAACATTCACTGCAGGTGAATCAATCATTGCATTTTAAAACAAATGCTTCAGGAAATAAACCTACAGTAAAGGTTTGGTAAATGTCACATTCTCTGCTTTATAAATATGCTCTTTAATAGGATTTCAGTTTATTGTAGTAGGAATATTGACAGATAATTTTAAGATATTATTTCTGGTTGTTATGTCATTTGAAATGTCATTAATTTAATCCCATTAGCTTATATTAGTATATTAGAGGTGCACTGAAATGAAAATTTCAAAACCGAAACGAAAAAAAATTCTAACTTTTTCAAATATTTTATTTTTTATAAAATTTTGAATTTCTTATATTTTATTATTTATTTTTATTAAATATTTAACGCTCCCATTCATTCATAATTGAGGGCACAGTAAACATACTTTGTCCTCAATTATTTACAAACACTCAGTGTTTGTACCCACTCTCCATCCTGGATCGGCTGTCACCACCCCCACACGGCCGCTCTCCCGATCCGTCACTGGAGACTGAGCGGTGTGGAGGAGACAAGCCGGCCGCTCACAGCGCTCTCCTCCTCCCGCACTGCTCGGCCACCTGTGACAGTTTCTCTCCTTCCTGCAGGGACAAAGAACAGTGCCCAGCGGAGAGGAGAGAAATCTGCCAAATGTGTCATTTTCAGCCGATATGTCGGTGCATCTCTACTGTATATGTATCAAATTAAACCTGCCACGACGGCAGTAAAACATGGTAAACAAAATGACCAACAGACATACAAAACTGCAAATGAGGGAAACCCACCTGTTTTTTGCTGGTGTTGGCATCTGACTGTAGAAGAGCTGCATGATTTGCTACTTTACGAAGGATAGCCAGATAACTGAAATAAAGGGTCTTCACACTTTCGCCATACTGGTTTTTCTATATTAACAACAACCAAGTTCATATGTTGTAAACAGAGAATATTATATAGGATTGTTACTCCAGGCCATATAGGCTCTATGTTCACTAATAAACCCCACAGGCTGTTTCAGTGGAAACAAATTTCTGTTAAAAAAAAAAAAAACCCAACCTGTGCATAGAAAGCTCAATAGCCTGGAATTGATATAACAACACACTTCATCAAACCCCACACATTCTGCCCCACTAGAATTCCGATTCTCTCTTTATTAAATCAAGTGGATTGATATAATTTTAGTTTTAGACTGGTTCACTAGCAAATTGTTTAAATGAAGAGAAAATAAAAGCTTGATTCTTTCTTATTTTTTAGTAATGCTTATTTAACTCAGATACTTTATATGAAGGGTTTATTTTTATTGACATCTATGTTGTTTTGCAGAGGAGGTTCTATTGTCAGTGACAATCCTTTATTGCACTGTGATGCATTCTGTTTCTGTGTTGCCCTTTTTGCATTTCTGTATTGGCATTTAAAATTTGATTAAATAAAGAATTTGCAATAAAATATCTCTCTCTATTTATCTATATGAGGCCTTAACAAATTTATCAGGAGTAAGGACCAAAAATGAAAAAGACATATGGGATATTCTATTTCTCTTTTTCATTAATTACAGCAACACTTTTGTATATAGCTTTGAGAGCTTGGTTCACTTAACCAGTTGACATCCGCGGTGTTAAACCCCCTTCCCATCCAGGCCATTTTTCAGTATTCAGCGCTACCAATATTATTATTATTTTTTTATTATGGATTTTAATAATGATTTAATTTTAAATACAGAGGAACTCCAGTAACAAAGTATCAGACGATTTCATATTCCTTTTAAAAATCATAATGAAAACTAAACAATATCACTGCATCTGTATAAAGCTGCAATGACTAGGTGTTGACTAACAACGCATTATTCATAAAGGCTAGAGTTAGTAAGTGGATTTCAAGAGACACAAGCTGTTAACCGGGCAAACATTACTTTCTCTGCCAGACAGCACACCCAAAAACAAAATGGAAGCCCTGTATAATAAATGCTGAGCTTTTCGTGGGGATTTCAGTAACTACAATTGCACTTTCTAATACCATTACAAATTAGGCAACTGCCACCAATACCAACTGTCCAATTAACCATCTGCCAACTTGGCAGCACAGTAAAGTCTATTACCACTCCCCTTCACATAATATTGACCTAACTAAATAGTGCAAATGAACTTTCCTACAAGTTGTCTTCACCGGTAGCACAAGAATCATGAAAATGTTAAAAGTAGCATAAAGCACCCTTTCGCCCACCCAAAAAGCTTGCAACCTTTGTATGCACCCCTTACCTTTTCCACAACAGTACAAAGCAACCCTTTGCTCCATAACTCATCTCTACAGCAGAATGCCACTGCTCTATTTCCCCACATCAGAAGCTATTAACTCACTGCTCCACACTATAACCCCCCAACAGTAGCACAATATACTGGCTCTGCTGCCACATAGAATACCTTCAGAACCATACTGGCACTCCATAGCAACTTACATTGAAAGTGTTTTCAAGGTTCATCTATCTATAGATGACAGTCTAATCCAGAACATGGTATTGGAGTCTGGTATTGGGTATTGGAGTCCTTCCTAAATTTCACATTATAAATAACTTGTTAAAGGCAAAGCCCACTTTAAAAAAAATAAAATAAATACACACAACTTAATAAAATTAAAAATGTTTATTTTTTAGCATTGAAGACTGTAAAGCATTGCAACCAAAATCAGTGGATCACAGCTGCAATGTTCTGCCTCCTGCAGATTGCTCCTCCAGTCCCTGTCTGTACTATGGCATGCACTTTCAGTTACAGGGATACGAGACAGAATGAATGGACCACAAGTGCGGTGATGTCACTGCACTCGTATTCCATTAAAACTACAAGTCTCTCTTCTGCGGTCATAGTGAGTGTAATATGAAACATGGTCTAAACGGTAAATTTGTTTTCATAGGTGTGCTATATGAGCTTCAAATCCTTCGCTATTCCCAGACTGATCAATACACACACAGAACATTTAGCACAATTGTAAGAAATAAATTTAATAGCTCAGGTGGGATTTAAAATGTGTATCCTGTATTACAGGCATGTTGTCTTTAACAAAATCCCATCCATGAAGCCTTTTCAATAGTGGTGAAAAAAGTACACTATAAAACATTTAATGTATTGAATTATTTCACAACTCATGAAAAGTGAGACAAGCAGATACCTTTTTATTTAAGAAGGTTTCACCGTGCTTCACAATTATATTACACAGAAAATAGAAAGCAGTACTACTTATTCAGGAGTGACAGATGTGAATATATATGGTGACCACAGTCAGCTAGAGACTTGGCAGGGGATCACGCCATGCTTCACCCTACCCAAAACTAACCCAAAAAAACAAACATTTTGAGCAGAGTTCTCCAGCAGCACTGTCTGCATGTTTGGTGATATTTCATAGAGTGATGCAGTGCTTTAAACAAGATCTCTTGTAAGTTGTTCAAATGGTTCTAATGACATCAGATAATTGCATGTTTCCTTAGTTAAGGCTGAATGAGTTTAATATTCCAACCTGCCAAAAACAACAGGGCCCATATATCACAAAGTCATTACAGCAATAGAGAAATCAGAGGAACAGACGCTTTAACAGTCTTTCCCAAGACATGACTTTATAATGTTTCCAGAAGACTTGTGGGTATGCTTTATTTGTCTCTCTACTTAGGAGAGCAGACACATAAACTGTAAGGTCACAGCTATGTCACAAAGGCTAGCCTTAATTTACACAGACAGGGAGCTTGAATGTGACTAGAAGGAAATTAAAAAGTTTTCCAAGAAAGGAATGTTTTACTTCTGGATAAAAACTGATATTTTTCCCCCCCTTTTGTTAAAGGTAAATATAATGCCTTTTTCACTACCACTTGTTACTGCCACTGGAATTATAAGCTGTAGGGGCTCATGCACACAACCGTATAAAATTATGCCAACTATTATGCAGGATCTTCCTGGCAAAATCGGGCAGCAAAATCCTTTGTTAAAAAAAGGGCATTGTATGTTGTATGAATGTAATGCTTGTGCAACATTTACATTTGCACAATGTAAAGTGCAAAGGTGTCCTATTGGTTGCTAAGATGCTGGGTGGCTCAAGCAACAACCCTGGCCACAAAGGGCGCTAGGCAGAAAGGAGCTGTCTGCATCCTAGTAACAAGAAACCGCAGGTGGCATGAGCCACCTGTGTCCTAACAATGAAGGATGCCATGCAACTTGAGCTACCTGCACCCTAGCAACAAAGGATAACAGGGCAGCTCGAGCCATCTGCATCCTAGCAACAAAGGACGCTTTTCGGCTCGAACCGGCTGTGTCCAAGCAGCGAAGGATGCTGGGAGGGTAAAGCCTCCTGTGTCCTAGCAACAAAAAAAGCTATATGGCTCAAGCCCCCTATGTCCTAGCAGCAAAGAACTCTAAGCAGTTCAAGTCACTTGCATCCTAGTGACAGAGAACATTAGGCAGATGGGCTTACATTGGTGCTGAGCTATTACAATTAAAGTGTACCTGCTGAAAACCTTGGCTAATGATATAATGAAAAAGGCAAATGAAAAGTTTCCTTCAATAAAAATCATATATTAATACAAGCAGCAGATCCAGAGCTACAGGAAAGAATTAAAAGAGCATCCTAACAAGTAAAATAAGCTGCTGATCACATTAAGTAGGAAGTAGGCAAAGCTAAGATCTACTTTTTCAGACATATTTGATATTTGTATATAAACATAGCTGCCTGTATCTCTGGATCTGCTGTAGGTTTTTCACTAAAGGCAACAGCATTAAAGTAAAACGGAAGCCATTTTTGTGGATAGAGTAAGGGAGGGCTATAACTCATGTAAGCTTTTTTTGCCATAAGTGTCCTATTGGGGAGAATTCCCTTAACTCCAATACAAGAGGAAGTGAGAGGAAATCTCTAGTAGTCAGCTGGGTCTCCAGAACTAGTCCCCCCATTGAAAGATTTCCCATCTATGCTTGTTCTGGCGACAACCCAAATTTTCTTTCACTTTCAGCGATAACGGTCTGCAGGACAAATAGAGGAGGTGAAACTCCCTAATGAGCACATAGACAATAAAACCCAGGATGAGTTCTAATCCCTCTCCACTCTATCCTAAAGGTTTGGCTTCAGCTGCACTTTAAACATGGTTTCAACTCACTAACACACTTAGTAATGTTTCAAATACAAATATGTATATAATATATAGTCATTTAAGAGGAAGATCCTTCCTTACCCTATAACAACATCTTCTCCTTTTCAGTCCACTGCTGCAACTACACGTCTCACCTCCTCGAAGAACCAAGCTGACATCCTTAGTTTCAAGAACAGTTTGATATACTGCTTTCTGGAACTCTGATAAAGCACAATAGACAATCTGTAGTAAAAAAAAGACACAGTTTCTAAAGTAATTCTGCCTCACCACTAGTTCAAAACAGAGCTATTCATTTAGATTTTAAGTGGTACAAGAAATAAAAAAATACAGTCCCTGTTTTACCCCACAGTGAACTCAATCTTTTTTACTTTCCCACTTATATTGCTGGAGTTGAAACCTGCTCTCCCAGCCAGCCCCATTCTTTCCCAAGCAACAGTATAACTTAGTGAAATACATACAAAATTGTCATACATACCCGATCTTCCTTTTTTGGTAACTGGTCACTTATAAGAGCTTTGGTACGCCTCAGGAACGATGAAGACATTTTAACTGCCAGCTTCTGCATGACTTTTCTCCCAGTGGCTAACTCTCGTTTTGTGGCATTGTGACGTTGTCCAAGTTCTACTGGATTAGAAAATTCTTCCTTAAATTGATTTTTGCTTCCAAAACATCCAGGTACAGCCCTAGAGCGGAACAAAATTATGAAGGGGACACATTTAGTTGCAAATTTCATATCCTAAAGGGACCACATTACTTTTTTCTATGGACTTGTAGATAAAACAGTTGGGCTGGTCATACACTATAAAATTGACTTGATTATGCCATCCAGCTATTGTATTCTGACCGCTGGTGCCTGGGGCTGTCAGAATAACCAAACAGTGACGGTTAAATAGTTAATTAGCAATGTAAGTATTAATAAAATGCTCAAAAACCCTAAAATAAAAAGGTGCAGTAGGAAACCTACAAAGCATTATCAGTGTCTTAAGTGATCACACAAAATGATCCTAACATAACCTGTATGTGACCACTCCTTCTCAGAATGTCATCGCTAAAGAGGAATGAATTAGGGCAGCCACTGCGACCTCTCCTTTGGTGAATGCAACTTTTTTTGGGTTGTCATCTTTCTTCAATGCTTTAAGTCAGCGGTGTAAAATCCAAACTTACTATGGGCCATGCCGAGGGTTGTGAATAAAATCAGTGGCCAGACATAAAGAAGAAAACAAAATTAACCCTGCTGCGGTACAAAGCTCAGGCCCACTAATCAATTTATGAGATTCCTGGTGCCCTGTGTGTGTGAGGGCACTACAAGTGTCAGCAGTCCCTGTGCATTATATGACAACTCTGCGTGTGAGGGCACTACAAGTGTCACAGTCAGTCCCGAATACACACGTAGTGCCCTCTCACACAGTCAGTCCCGAATAAACACAGCGGGACTTACTGAGAGCCGCCAAGACCAGAGGCAGAGGCGAGAAGGAATGTGCATACGAGGAGAAACCGTCGGCCCAGGAGAAACGTGTGGTCAAAGAGGAATAAGCAGGGTCCCCAGAGGGCTGATTTGCAGCTCCAAGTTTTTTCTGCCTGAGCGCAGGCTAGGGGGAAAAAAAAGAAGTAACCCTGCTTGCCACGGTACAAAGCTCAGGACTGGAGGGCCTAATAAAATCTTGTGGCGGGCCGTTTTTGGAATGTGGGCCTTGTAATTGGCATATGTGCTTTAAGTCAACATCATGGAACCAGTTCACAGAAAACAACTTCTAAATTTCCTCACACACATACCTGTTCAAAGTCAGTGACTCAAAACACATTGAAGCCCGTGGATCTCTCAAACTTAGTAAACAAACATACAGTATATCACTCATGCACCCTCTTATTACGTTTATTGAAGCACGCACTCTCCAATGTTTTGTATAAACTTTTTTTAAAAAGCAGAATATATTTTTTTAGCAATGATAGCTAGTCATGTAGTGAAAATAATGTTTGTTAAAAACAAGTTCAACTTCATTTTTTTTTTTGTTCAATAAAGTATTTTTGGAGACAAAAAAAAGTTCAACTTAAAAAGCAAGAATAAATGACAAATGAACAAAATCAGCAAATAAAATAAAACAAAGACAAAACATGTAATGAGGTCTACATGCTGAAACATCCATTATCAAACAGTTAAGGGAAAACCCTTTTTTTCCTTACAAACTTTGTAGTGACACAACTGTAATTTAGCACACAATGTGCACCGCATATTTAACTTGATTACAAGTGTTCATTTCCTGTTCAACTCAAGGTTATTTCCAGGATGAATGTGGCATACATGAAACAAAGCCAACTTGAACACCATAGAGGATGCTGAAAAATCATAACAAATCCATGTCAATCAATCTTCAGTTTCTCCCTGGAGAGTACTAGAACTCATTTGCTTGCCAGCACATCAATAGCTGTTAACCTCTTTCAATTAATGTCAAATGACTGAGTGTTTAAAACTGATAAAGTTATTGAGCAGAACTTTGCTGCAGGCAGAAAACAAGCACCGTTTCCATTTCAATACTCTGGTTATGCCACACAAAAAAAAAACATTTAGCAGTATAAGGTTTTGTTTTTATTGGTAATTTTAATGTCTGCAATTTTGTAAACTAAACTCTTGTTTTCTATTAGGCATCACATTCTTCGATACAGACAAAATTCACACTGGGCAATCTTTACATTTGTCCTTAAATACTACTGATAACAGTGTAAAAGTAACTATAGGTAATTCACCAATCAGCCCCAGTTCACACCTGACGGAGGTTGTTCTTTTAGGTGATTGTGATGCTTTCTTTTTTTTTTAGGCATTATGCATGGTTTATCAGATTCATTGAACTTTATGTGGGCAAAAAACATGCGACTGGCCAAAAAAACTTTTTCAAGCAACAAAATGATACAATGCTGTGAACAGGCACCACTGAAAATTACTGGATTCTTCATGATGAGTGTTGCCACACGTCAGGAAATGCTCGAGTGTGAATGGGGGATAACATTTCTTGATAACGGTTTGCTGCACAAAGGACTCCAGCAATATAAATAGTTAATTCAGGCTCATCCCATCTTCTCTTCTCCTTAAATGCAGGTTAAGTAAAAGAAACTGTTTAAATACAATACCAAATAAAGACATCTTACTTACCAGTCCATAACACACCACAGCTCCTCCATGTTGTTTTGCAAAATGGTTCCTGTAAGTCCAATGCGGACTTTACACCTTAAAGACTTCATGGTCTGTGTAACTCTTGCTTTTGGATTTTTTATCCTATGTGCTTCGTCCACAATGACTGCTGACCACTCTATGCTGCAAAGAAAAAAATAAAAATCGTACAAAAATGCTGGGGTAGCATGAACAATAATTGTTACACCAGGCACAAGCACTACTCAAACTAAATTTGCAGTTAATAAGGAAAAGGCACTACAACAAATAAAGTAATAAAAAGTGTCTATAACCAATACATTTTTTTTAATTTTAGATAGGATAGGGCAGTGAGTCGCCCTATTTGTCCTGTTGACCATTTTCAATGGGACACAAAGAGATGGGAAATTTGAAATTTTATGGTTGCCATTAGAACAGAAAGTGCTGTTGTGATAACTGCCTAAAGGTGCCCATACACCTTACGATTATCGGACGATTTTCGTATGCGATCGACTTTTCGTCCGATAATCGTATGTGTGCATTGCAGTGTCCGACCGACATTACTGTACAATCGTACGACTTTTGACGGTCAAGCATGTTTGAAAACTTTGCTCGATCGTGCGATTGTCGTAAGGTTGCTGGCGTTTCGGTCCGTCAAAAGTCGTACGATCTTTTTCTGGTGCATTAGGCAGCATCACAACAGTGTGATTCCAACCTAAACAGGTTTTCCTCTGTCAATAAACTAGAATTTAAAGATCAAGGAAAAATACAACTTAGCTGGAGGATATATTAATTCAAAAGTTATGATTTTTTACATGGTATATCTATCTGAAATATCCATAACCCTCTGCACACCAGTAATTAGGCTGAGAGTGGGAGAGTCTGTGAGCCAATAAGTACAGTACACTGCTGTCATACAAACAAGGCATTTAGGCATGTTTACAGCAGTAGGATAGTATCAGAAGGACTTCTCCAGGGAGGGTTTTGTTCATATGCAGTCCAATTAGTTGTCTGAGGTGGAAGTGACACAGAATGCCTTAGAGTTGCAAGTATTGCCTAATGGAGATTCTTAGCAGGCTGTATACTATTACAAAGGTGTGTATGAATAAGATTTTAGTGTGTTTTAGAAAGCAATGAACTTCCGTTGCTGAAACCTGCAGTCCTAGCTCTAGTACAGTACATACAGTGAAGGACAGTGGGTTACTCATTCTCCACCTGGTCCATTCAGAAGACATTTATTCTTTTACAGAATGCAAGGCATTCTGTGAATAGAGGAAGGGTGGATTAATGTCACAATCTCCCCTCGTCCAGTCACAGAACACCTTCTATTCTGTGAAAATAATACAAGATGTTTTCAGAATGAACGAGGTGGAGAGCTGTGTCGGAATGAATCAACGTTATAGATTTTATCCCACACAGCAGCTATCCAGCAATTTGACACACATCATTACAAGCAAATTCATTTTTACACAGCGCTAAATATCCAGACCACTGGCAGTATATAACATGCAATCAAGTGCCAAATAAAGTGCTAAATGTAAATACAAACCTCTCAATGGTACCTCCTAAAACCAGTGTTAATAAATCATCAACAATAAATAAAATATACAGTACTACTTCCAATGTGAATCAAACAATCAATATCATAAAAAGTGTCCAAATAACAAATTTGTGATAGTAATAAATGTCAGCGTGATTGTCATATAGACTAATGTATTGCATGTCAGCGTGATTGTCATATAGACTAATGTATTGCAACAATCCCAATTAAAGCCCAATGTGAAGGGCAATCCAGTAAACACCGTGCTCAGAAATATTCCAGTGTTCCAAAAAAGTGACACTCTTCTCGTGGCGAACCCAAACCCTTTTTTTTTATCACCAGTGGTTCGAATATTTAGCACTGTGCATTATTTTTACATTATTGGGAGTGGTCACACTTTGAGCTCAGCAGTTTTATATTTCACCCATTACTAGGAGTCCTTAAGGTGCCCGTACACCTTACGATTATCGGACAAAACTTTTCGTCCAATGATCGAATAGTCGTACGATTTTCGTACAGCAGCCCCATCCTACCCCGATGATCGCAAGACTAATTTAGCCGTAATTAACGAAAAGCACTTGGACGAAATGCGGTAATTTATTTGCCGTATTTTCGTTAGCGCAAGCGCAGTGTAGATTTTACGACTTTTGACGGACGGAAACGCCAGCAACCTTACGACAATCGTACGATCTAGCAAAGTTTTCAAACATGCTTGACTGTCAAAAGTTGTACGATTGTACAGTACTATCGGTCAGACACTGCAATGCACACATACGATTATCGGACGAAAAGTCGATCGCATACGAAAATCGTCCGATAATCGTAAGGTGTATGGGCACCTTTAGCGTGGAATATTATTATATATAAAATACATTTTTACATGCAAATGTGCAAAAAATGTCCCCCCCCCATAGTTAAGCTTTAAAGTGGCACTGAACTCAGGAGTTAAATCTTAAAAATGCATTCAAGTACCTTAACTAATAACAAAACTGTATCTTATTTGTGTATCACTCGTCTGTAGATCCTCAAATCATCTCTGAATTGGTGCTGACACTGTCCTTCCTTCTGGAGGTTGGCTACTTTTGTTGCCCACAGTCCCTGTGTGTGTTGTAAAGTAGTCACTGCTCCAAGCTCACTCCCATGATGGACTGCAATCTCAGGTTTAATTTACTAATTTGTATTGAGATTGTAGTCCATTACAGGAGCGAGCTTGACGCACACACAGGGACCAAGGGGAACAAAAGTAGCCACCCTCCACAGGACAGTGTCAGCGCCAATATTCAATGTAACGAACAGTAAATTGACCTCAAGCTCTGTACAGACTATTGGGTGGTAATAAAAAAAAGAATCAGTAGGTGAAAAAATGTGACAACAAATGAGACACTACTCCAATGCAAGGAACAGGCTATTATTGGCAGTTACAGAAATCACGGCTAGAAATAATGCGCACCAAAGTACAAGGTAACAAGCAAATTCATTTCTGGTGATTAATGCAAATGCATTTCTGGTGATTAGAGTGAAAAGCTAATTACACATGTGTATAAAAAAGAAAAAAGGGTCTGTCTTTAGCAAGCAATCCGATTCTAAATAGCATTTATTATTGCATGTTAAATAACAACTGCAGGCATCTGGCTTCAGTTTTTTCATTCGGATGGTATATTTTTACAACAAGGGGAGCAAGTTCTAGCAACAAACTGCATTTAATATCTTGTAAACTATAGTGTAACAAGTCAACCTCTGGGATGAGTGCTTTACCTACCTGTTTAAATCATCTAAACACAGACGAAGAGTTTCATATGTAGTCAATGCGATTTCATATTTTCCTTGTTTCAGTCGCCCTAGCTGAAAATCTTTTTTATTCCCATGAATGATTGCTACCTTGAAATAGCCCCAAGTCTCCAGTTCATCTCTCCAGTTGTACAGCACAGACAAAGGTGACACAATTAGAAAAACCTAAAAAAAAAAAAAGGAACATTAAGAGTTTGATTAATTTAATCATTCTATAATTCTAAACTTCCACACAACCATGAACAACTTTTAAGCCAATCCTTCTGTATTGTAAATTACTATACCAGTCAAATTTAAGTATATGTAAACCCAACCACAAAAATCTCATATAAGCTTTGCCATGCCAATGTGATTTCCAAAATCATTTTGTATATTTTGAACTCTGCAGCTTTCACTAAAATAGTGCATGATGCTGCTGCCATTAAGGTCCTTGTTCAGGCACTTCCTGTTATAAAGAGAAAATGTTCTATCCTGTTTCCCACCTGTGCTCCAGTGTTGTCACCCTGTGACATAAGCTTCTGATGGAGACTACAATAGGGCATGCTAAGGCACACTGCACAAGCATGGTCCACTGTTGTCACCGTCAGACAACCTACCCTGAGAAATGCCATGCAGCCATTGCTGGAGTGCACGTAGATAGGAAGAGGCTGTAAAGCAGCTGCGGGAAATCGGGAGCACTGAGACGCAACAAAAGAAGAAAAAAGGTGACAACTGTTTAGGATACACAATACTTTAGTAAACTAAATGTCATTCAGTTAGGGTTTACATGTAATTTAAATTTCCAGGAAAACCGAAATTCGCTCCAATTAAATGAAATAGGCTGTACTCCTATGCGTGAAGACTACTCGAGAGATGAAAAAGGGACAGTCTATGTTGATAAAAACATTTGTTTTAATATGCAGTATATAAATGGGCTGTAAATAAGTAGCCATGTCTCTTAGGAAATAAATTAGGAAATAAAATGATGTGTACATCTTAAGGTGGCCATACACTTTACAACCATCGCAAGACTTTAGTCTTAGGCAGTTTAGGGTGTTTAGCATGCAGCAAATTCTCAAAGTAATTGTGGTTTTAGCACAAAATATGTTTTGTTAATTTGATGTGAGACTGGAACAGAATAGATTTATGGCTGTGTGAAAACATTTTCTCATCTGAATTAAAAAGTGAAATATAATAAAATACAGATGACCACTTCCTGCCACAGTAATCCAAACTGTACATTAGTTTGGTTATAAAGTTCCAATTCACTGTACTAACAACATAGATCTGTGATTTCACCTCTTTTGTTGGGCCTGTTTAAAAAAAAAAAAAGCACTGCTCAGATGGTATGACATTTTTAAAAACGAGAGAAGAAACTGAAAAAAATAAATCCAGTACATCACCAGGGCTGCGCTATCCACGTTCATCAATTGATCGAAAGTTTACTTACATTATCATTTTTTTCTATGATTGTTCATATGAATGGTTGCCCACTAATGTTCCATATTGTAAGACACAGCAAGGTAGGCATGACCTACAAGATGCCAGTGTAATCTACTCTATATATGGGTATACAATGTAGAATGTTAATGCTGATGAAAGAGTTACTTTCTGAAGGTCATAGAGTCGTGTCATGTCTCTCTGATCTACTTTTTTTCCCTAGCGCCCAGTTGCTACACAATGGTGCCAAGTCACATTACACAGGAACGGTCTACTGTTGTCACCATCAGAAAAACCCACCTTGCGTAATGCCATTGCTGGAAAGCATGCTTTTAGATAGGAAGTGGCTGCAAAGAAGCTACAGGAGGTACAATAAAGCATTTTTTTAAATGGCAGTAGTTTATGAAACAGTTTAGAAATAAAAAATGTCATTCAGTTACGGTTACATCTACTTTAGTGTGGGGGTCACTCCTCAGCTACAGAGTTGTTAAAGTACTGGTTGTTTATCTGGCTGAAGCAGTGATCTCTGGATATAGAGGAGATCACTGTGTCCTTCACTTGGGATGCTGGGTACTTTATTGTGGTAGTTAGGGATCTATCTACAAGATCAGAATGAAAGTGAAAAGTGAACCTGTGCTTTGCCCATGCAGAGCAAGCCAACATGTTTAGTTATAAGCTGAACCTGCTTAAACATACCTTATTTTAGCACCTCCACTGCTCTATATTAAAGCCTTATCAAAGTTATATAGTAAGATGCTGCAAAAAGCAAACATGCATTATACTATAATAACCAATCACTTATCATTAGCCAGCCTGCACTAAGCGGATAATTGCTATTAACCGTCAGTCATGTCTTAAAGGTCACTTGCTAATATGTGGTACTTTGATACATAACATAAATGTTTTGAAGACAGGAAACAGAATGGAACTGAATGGAACTAAACTAGGGGCTGACCCTACTTAAAGGACAAGTACAGGAAGACAAAACTTATAACCACACTGCTTAAAGCCGACATTAGACACTGCAGCTGTCACACTCTGACTCTATACTGAGAGCTGAGCGATCATATAACCGCTGATCACTCAGCTGTTGGTGTCTTCTTCCTTCAGCGAGCATTGACTTATCAATCACCCCTCCCCACGGTGATTCCCCCCTTCCCTTTCTGTTCCTCCTCCGCTTACCGGAGGGACAGAGAGGGGAGGGGGCATATATAGCGTTGGATCCTGATATTATTGCCAGAATTCTTATCGGCTGTGGCACTGCTCTGTGCTGTCAGTTTATAGTGGACATTAGCCCCCTATCTGCTAACTTTGGGTCACGGGAGTGACCCAAAAGAGAAGTAAAGCCAAGAAAAGTTTCAGCTTTACCTCTCTTTTAAAGAAACAAAAACAGATACAAAAAAGACAACATCCATAATATGCACACTCAACTTGAAAAATACCATAAATGCTATAGAATAGATACACATTGGAGGAGAAGCATTGCATATAATTTAATAAAGCTGGATTCATAGTTGATTTGAGACCTTCATGGAATATATTACTGCGTATGGCAAAACAAAATGGTACTTAATTATGGCATCAAAATGACAATGTACCATCTAAATTATAGCACATGCTGGGAAATGCGTATCATTTTATGCTGGATGGAAAAGTATATTTAATTCATTTGGAGAGTTGGAAAGAACATAAGTGGTTTAATGTATTTCATTAAAAATAGCTTGAGTGTTTAAAAGGATTAGCACTGAGAAGTAACAGACTAAACCATACAAGATACTCTGTATATATGACTGGAGAGAAAGGTTTACGGGACTGGATTGTGAAAATTAAACCATAGAAGGACACATTAGAAATATAGGGCACAGCATGGACCCTCCATGATTGGGCTCTCATTTATTATTCTACGCACAGTGTAAGGTAAATTGTGTGGGCTATAAGCTTATAACATTGTGGGGTGGTCTAAGGCTTCTGGGATTGTATATACAAAACAAATTGGAAAAAAAGTTAGATTTGTGTAGCTTGATGAGACATATTTGTCTAACATAAAATATGCATTAACCAGATTTCTTTTTATTCACAAGTGCCTTCTCAGGTGGTAACTCAAGAACAAGTACATTGATTAAAGTGAGCCTTATATAGTGCAGTGTTATTGAAAGTGCATCTTAACCCAAAAACTAAAATGTAATACATTGCAGCTTACCAATACTTAAATGTGGTAGCTGCATTAGTTTTTCTTTGCTTTATTTTCACCTGGTGATCCAGCCAGTACTACACTTCCTGCCTTGGGGTGTCACAACTCTATTGAGGAACAACGGCGCTACCCTTGGACAGCAGCACTGTCACCCCGTGGAGAGGGTAGTGTTAGATGCACTAGCAGATATAGATGGACTCAACTAACAAACTCAAGCCAAACTCCAGAAAACACTTTTTAAGTAGTTACAGTAATAGTTTTGTTTTACCTTAAAGGATAAAGGTTTTATATAAATGAATAAAAGCTGACCACTGTAAGCACCCCTGCCACTGTTAGACAGAGGGTTGAAACAAACCATTTGCCACAATTGATGGACAGCTTGGTCTGTTAAAGTGACACTCAGTAGTTAGCTACTGTAGCTACTTTACAACACACTCCGGGACCATGGGGAACAAAAGTAGCCCCCCTCCAGAAAGAAGGACAGTGTCAGCACCAATTCAGAGATGATTTGAGGATTAACAGACGAGTGATACACAAATATGATACATTTCTGTTACTAGTTGAGGTACTTTAATGTATTTTTAAGATTTAACTCCTGAGTTTAGTGTCACTTTAAAGGATGCGGAAAGAAAAACAGACAGTGGGAGAATCAAAAAGTGATACACTTGAAAGGTGAACTCCAGAATAAGCAAAAAATGTCTAACAACACTCAAGCACTCAAAGAGCCATTTGGACTCGTTTCTCACAGAAAAGAAAACACCGGGAGCCACAAAAGCCTTTTGACATCTATAATGAAGATAACATGGCATATATTGTTTTTTACCTTTATGCTATGTATAGCATGTATATAAGTACTGGACTCTGGGCTTAGTAACGCACTGGACTCTGGGCTTACCTGAGACCCCGCAGAGCCCACCTGAGAGTGACCCTGCAGAGCACACTATAGATCCTGCACAGCCCATCTGAGACTCTATGGTGGGCTCTGCGGGGCCTCAGGTGGACTTGTCGCCGGGGTCCCTTTTCCTGTACCTCCTCCCAACTCCTCTTACCTGCTGCTGCTGTGGCATGGAACCTCCCCTCCCTCCCCCGTCACCTCTGCCATGCCGCCCCTGGAACAGCTGATACTCATGTTAGAGGCTCCCGAGGCTGCACAGACCCCTCTCATGGGTACCGGCCGTACACACACTTCACCTCTCCCGCCGCCTGTTACTAGGGACACAGCCGGGAGAGGGAAGAGCCACATGTGGCTCCGGAGCCGCAGGTTGCTGACCCCTGATCTAGTGCAAATAGGTTAATTGGCACTTCAGTTTCAGAAACAAAGTACTAGTGCTATTTTTCTTATAGAGATATATACCTTATAACCTTTTGCTTTTGTAGTCTATGCTAAATGCAGAAAGAAACAAACAATAAAACAACGGAAAAATTGTCTCCTAAAGCATATATGTATTTCTGTATCAAAAGACCATATACCTGTGGGCTGTGACCACTGCATTCCAGAAAATGAACTCACTCAACAAGTGGGAGAGTTGAGAGGTCAAATCACAACAAGGCAGAA